CCAGAGGGATATAGAGGAAATGATCAGCAGGTCTGTCGCCTAAAGAAGAGCTTGTACGGACTGAAACAGGCTCCTCGACAGTGGTACCGAAAATTCGATAATTTCATGCTGAAGATAGGATACTCCAGGTGTAATGTTGATCATTGTTGCTAAGTGAAGAAGTTCGGTAACTCTTTCATTATTTTACTGCTATATGTGGATGACATGCTGATAGCAGGATCAGATGTCAAGGAGATCGAGAGGCTCAAAGATCAGCTATCAAGGAGATTTGATATGAAGGATCTAGGAGAAGCGAGACAGATATTGGGCATGAAAATCACGAGGGACAGAAATGCTGGTAAACTTTGGCTTTCTCAATCTGATTATATTGAGAAGGTAATGTGCAGATTCAATATGAATATTGCAAAGTCGGTTCGAGTGCCATTGGGAAGCCAGTTCAAGTTGTCCAACAAGGATTCTCCCCAGGATGACTCTGAAAAAGAAAAGATGAGAGTTACGCCGTATGCTTCGGCTATCGGGAGCCTAATGTACGCTATGGTCTGCACCCGACCAGACATAGCACATGCAGTGGGAGTAGTCAGCCGGTTCATGAGCAATCCTGGAGTGATGCACTGGGAGGCGGTAAAGTGGATCCTTAGGTACCTGAGGGGTACTAAGGACCGGGCATTAGTATTTGGCAGGGGTACCCTTACCCTGTCTGGGTATGTCGATGCTGATTTTGCAGGAAGTGATATTGACAAGAGGAGGAGTACTACTGGGTACGTATTCACTTACGGCGGGACGACCGTATCCTGGATCTCAAAGCTGCAGAAGATAGTCACATTGTCCACAACGGAAGCTGAGTATGTGGCAGTGACGGAGGCAGCCAAGGAGCTCGTTTGGCTGCAAAACTTCTTGAATGAACTTGGGAGACCTCAAGAGGATGTGGCTTTATACAGCGATAGCCAGAGTGCAATCCATCTGGCAAAGAACCCCGCGTTTCACTCGCGAACGAAGCACATCGAGGTTAAGTATCATTTCATCTGGCAACTTCTAGAGAAGAAGATGTTGCAGCTGAAAAAGGTTCGGGGAGATAGGAATCCTGCAGACATGTTGACCAAGGCGGTAACTTTGGAAAAGTTGAAGCTGTGTGTAGCTTCGACCAGCCTTGATGATTAAAACAGGCAGACTTGGCAGAACCAGGAGCAGAGATGAACAGGTTGACCAATCTTCAAGTGGGAGATTGTTGAGGTGTGAAGATTAGTCAAAGAAAGGGAACTTCCTCGTAAGTTCCCGGTCAAAGAAAGAGAACTTCTTCGTAAGTTCCTAGTAAAAGATAGGGAACTTCCTCATAAGTTCCTGGTCAAATGAAGGCTACTTCCTTGCAACTTCCTGGTCAAAGGAAGGGAGCTTCCTCTCAACTTCCTCGCAAGAAGGATTTGTTTGGCTATAAATACCTCATTTTGTAACCTCATTTGTATCCAATCCAAGTGAAAAAGAAATACATATAAGTGTGAAGAAAGAGTAGAGAGAGTGTATTCATACGGGCTTGTGTGAGTTGTAACATTCGGTTTATCCTCTTATTCTAGTTCATTCTCCTGGCTTGGTTCGCCCCCAGACGTAGGATTTAATCCGAACTGGGTTAACAAATATTCGTGTCTTTTATTGATTTCACATTGGTGTATTATTATTATTCCATCTTATCCGACCTTATTTCCCAACAGATTTCTCTTGTTATGCTTTCAGTTTGTTTCTATATATTTTTGAAGCACATATTACTTTAATAATTTAAAAGATTCATAACACAATTTTTACTTTATTATTGACTTGATTGGGGCCGGCTGTGCGT